GTTATCTGTAGTTGTTCAGTCATCAAAGGTATTTTCTGGCCCTTCCACAGATTCTCTAATCTCCTGGTTTTCCAGAGTCATTGGGGATTATATAGATTAAGAAACTCCTTCCCCAACCCTCACCCCACCTTGAGCACTCTCCCCCAATAAATTTTGGCCTCTACCCCCTTTGCAGGTAATAGGAGATGGCATCCCCCAAATTCAGACAGTTAAGCAGGGCAAGGATTTCTGGTTCAGGGAGAAAGCTACCTCCTTTACACTTGGCTTCTTTTCCATTAAGATCAAAAGTTGCAAATCAATCAGGAGAAAATTGCCCTCGGGACCGTTGAGCATACATCTTCATTCAAATCAGGCTCTGAATGTGTGCGTCGAAAGCACCTCTCACTTGTTCATTGCCAGCCAAGTCTCTAGGGCGATCCAGTTGATTTGGGAGCATTCACTCAGATCATTGCACACATATGCGTATTATAGCTGCCAGGCCAGCCATCTGACTACTACTTCTCCTTCACTAGTCCAATGGACGAAGTGAATCTACAATGTGATAAGGAGAATACTAGGGAATAAAAGAGCCGATGTCCTCGACATTCCAGGATTACCAGCTGAGAACACATGAACGCACTGGAGATTCCCCAGGTTATAAGGGAATAGGGGAAGGAACCATCATTTAACATCTACCATGTACCAGGTGTCTGGCATACATTTTATTTACTCTTCACAACAATATGCTATTGTTACCTTCATTTATAGGTGTGAACAGTATTTTAGCTATGCTAAGTAGAATTTCTTAAACATAATAATTATTAATGGGCTTTATGGGTAGGCCATTATCTTTAGCACTTATTTCTCTCACAGAAGGGACCTGGGAAGAACTCTCTGGACAGGGTGGTTAAGTAGTTATCACTTTCCTACTGCTTTGCCCTATTGTCATCTTCTGCAAGAATATGTAAGTAAGTGGATTTTGTAGTCAGGAAAATCTGAGTTCAAATTAAGGTTCTTAAATTAATCAGAAAAATGAAACCCACTTCAAGTATTTCAAATGAGGAAATTTAATAAAGAGAATTAGTTGGACAGATGATGGAAGAACTAAGAAGCCGAACAGGGAAAAGTGAGGCAACTCAATAGATTAGCAAGAGCAGGAAGCCACTATCATTACTAGTCTGAAGGCCAAAGGGAGCAGATGGAGCCCAGAAGCTGCCAAGACTGAGGCTTCTGTCTTCTCCTGTCCTCCCACCTTCCAATCTTGTGTCAATGCCTCCAGCTGGTCAAACCCAGTCACAAGCCAGCTAACAAGAGAGTCTGAGAAATGCAGCCTGCAGGAATTGGACCACCTGTGACACAGAGCTGCAGAAGGGGGGAAGGAATCTAGGCAGAGACAAATGTTCCTCCTTTATAAAATTATTTCTGTCTCATAGGGTTGTTGTGAGAATTAAATGAGCAAATGTAAACAAAGAATAAAGTCTTAGTCCAGTTCCCAACACATAGTACAGAGGCAGCTCTAATCAATTTTCCCCTAGATGGGAAAACTGAGATTCAGATAGGATTAACTGATTTGCTCAAGGAAAAGAGCTTGCGGCTTGGGGACGAGTGTGTCTTGGGCAAGTCTCTTCATTTCTTTGACCCTCAGATTCTTCACCCCACCAACTTGCTGTGTTGCTGAGGGGATTCATTCTTTCTGCAAATATTTACTGCTACGTTCCAGGCTCTCTAAGTGCAAGTAAACAAGACAGACCAACACGGTCCTTGCTCTCCTGGAGTTTACAGGCTGCTCGGGGGAGAGACATTGACCAGAAAATTATACAAGTTGTCATATACTGACATTGTGATAAATGCCATGAAGGAGAAATAAGTACTGTGAGGGCCTGTTAGAGAGTGGCCTGGCCTAATCTGGGGAGGTCAGGTGCTTCCCTGTGATTTTAGTTGGTCTTGAAGGATGAGTCAGAGTCAGCCTGGTGAGGAGCCGAGGCAGAGCGCATGAGACTGAGAACAGTATGAGAAGTTCTTTGGAGATGTTTAAACGTTGACCCAGCCTTCGTGTCCCCGCCCTTCGCCAGGGTCACGACGCTATGCTCACCTCCAAAGGTGAGTGGCCAGGTGGGGGCCACGCGCCGCATCCCGCACCCCGCAAAGGCTCCGGGCGGCCCACGAAAGGGCACTCGCCCGTGGACTGGCCCTTCCTAGCACCGCTCTGCGTCCGGCCCGGGCCTCCCGCCCCAGGCCCAGCTCCCGCGCTAGGCTGGCCCCGCGCCCCGGGCGGCCGCTGATGGTCCGCTAATGCGTATCGAATTTTTTCTGAATTTGGCCCGCGGCCGGAGCAGAGGGTTCGGCGGCGGCGGCGCTGCCAGAGCCTCTTAATTCCTTTTGCATCGATCCCGCCGTTAATGACATAACCTTCTCCCGTAATTAACTGACAACTGCATTAGGCGTCGCGCCCCCTCCGCAAGCCGCCCGCGGCTTCCCCACCGCGGTTCCGCCCGCGCCGAGGAGCCCGCGCCGGTGTAGGGGGCGGGTGGGGCTCTTACTGCCCTAACAACCCAGGATCCTGTTGCCTGGATGGGAGCGGGGTATAGTGTTTCAGGATCATATCAGCTCAGTAAACGTTTGCTGTTACTTATAATGTTGTTGTGGTTTCTGTGTGCCAACACTGGGCAAAGCACATAACTATTTTAGCATGCTATCGTTGTTTGCTATGGAGTAGATTCCGACTCATGGCGACCCCATGTGTTACAGAGTAGAAGTCTCTCTAGGGTTTTATTGACTAATGCACCCAGCCACTCGGTGGGAAAAATACCTAGGGATTTGCTCCTGCAAAGATTACAACCTAGAAAACCCCACAGCGCAATTCTACTCTGTCACATGGGGTCGCTATGAGTCGAAAATCAACTAGATGGCAAACAACAGTCTTAATGGAAGCAGATCGCCAGGTCTTTTCTTCTGAAGTACCACTGGGTGGGTTTGAATAGTCAGCCTTAGGTTAGCAATGAGCACAAAATTTGCGCCACATAGGGACCTACTTCAGCATATCGATTCATTACAACCCAAGAGGTAAATAGTGGAAACTGGGGCTCAGCGAATTGGGGGAGCTAAAGCAATAACCAAGGCTTAGGGAGCCCTGGTGGCACAGTGGTTAAGAGCTCAGCTGCTAACCAAAACGTCAGCAGTTTGAATCCTCCAGCCGCTCCTTGGAAACCCTATGGAGCAGTTCTACTCTGTCCTATAGGGTCATTATGAATTGGAATTGACTCAACTGTACTGGGTTTGTTTGTTTTAATACAGCGAGCTACTGAGGAGGGTGAGAATCTCACCCATCCCTCTGGACTCCAAGTTGTTACCTCTGTTGTTATGTACCCTCAAGTACTGACTGAAGGAAGGTCCTTGTTTCTTTGAGCTTCTGGTCCTGGGTGATCTTCATGGCATCTCTCTTCCCCTATCCGACTCATAGCGACCATATAGGACACAGTAGAGCTGCCCCATAGGGTTTCCTAGGCTGTAATGTTTATGGCGTGGTGGTTAAGAGCTTGACTGCTAACCAAAAGTTGGCAGTTGGAATCCAGCCGCACCTTGGAAACTTTATGGGACAGTTCTACTCTGTCCCCTAGGGTTGCTATGAGTTGGGATCCACTTGACAGCAAAAAGTTTGATTTTTTTAAATAAATAATCTTTATGGGAGCAGATTGCCAGGCCTTTCTTCCTGCAGAGGGGCTGGTGGGTTCGAACCACCCACCTTTCCGGTTAGCAGTGCTTAATCACTGCGCCACCAGGGCTCCTTAAGTTGTTACCTAGACTGTATTAAAGGCATTATATTTAAGTGCTTAGCAAAGTATCTGGCAGATAATGAGCACTCAATAAATTTTAGCGTGGCAGGATAACTTACTGAAATACTAATTTGTGTTTACTCTTCTGGATGCCCATTTAAATCAAGTGGTCATGTTTTGTAACTCCTTGGGCAGCAGAGAAAGCAGAGACAGCTGCCTGTGGTCTCTTGCAAAACACAAACTTTGTATAATTTACAAAGTATTTCTTTCTCACACACTTACCTAGCCATCACATTTGCTATAACCAAGGCAAACTCAGGCTCAGGTCCATTTGTAAAATACAAATAATACCTTTAGTTCTATTTAAGATATATTTTCCAACCACCACTACCTGCAATCATGACAGACTAATGGTCTTGGGACAATGTTATTAATCTGGGCAGGACCTTTTCACAGGCATTAAATGTTACTGGCTGAACTATCTGGCTTCCACACAGTTTTGATTCTCAACCTTTATCTGGTTTCCATGCCTTTATTTTCATTTTGTTGTATTGTGTGCATTTCTATAAGCCACTTCAAATCTCTTCTGTGATGGGGCAGAATATGAAAAACAAATTAAAAATTAAACAAATGAGCTGGTGATAGGGAACCTAAGGTTGAGTAAGGATAGTGTTGATGTGTTGTGAGATTGTTAACCATTGTCAGAGGGCAACATGTGTACTAACTGTTTAATGAGAAACTATTTTGTTCTGTAAACCTTCATCTAGAGTGAGAATAGCAGCACAATTGGAAGAGCGTAGTCGATGTCACTGAACTGTGCATGTAGAAATTTTTGAAATGGTGTATCTTTGGCTATGTATACTTTCACCAAAAAAAAAAAAAGGTCGAGAAGGGAGAGGGTTGACATGTTGTGGGGTTGTTAACCAATGTCATAAAACAATACGTGTACTACTGTTTCATGAGAAACTATTTGTTCTGTAAACCTTCACCTGAAGTACAATAAAAATAAATAATAAATAAAACAAATGAAATAACAATTCAAGGGTCTGGCCAATATTGATTCAGTAAGTTGCACTGGCATTTGAAGATGAGGAAACTGAGGCTCAGAAAGTTTCGGGGAAATGTTCCAGCATGACAATGAGATTTTAGGACAGGAAACTCACTGTCTATACTTCATCCAACACTTCAAGTTTCCTCTCTTTCCCTCCACTTGCAGGAATCACCTTCCCACCCAAGTTCCTGAGATCTCCTACGACTGTTCACTTCCTGCAAGAGAATTCTGGATTTCACAAGTCACTAACATCCAACACTGAAGTAAATATAAGATCAATATATCCCCCAGCCAGTCATTTCCTCTTCCTCTGTGACTAACCTACCAGGCACCACTTGCCCATCTCCCATTGCCGTCCAGTCAATTCGGACGCATAGCGACCCTATAGGACAGAGTAGAACTGCCCCATAGAGTTTCCAAGGTGTGGCTGCTGGATTCAAACTGCCAACCTTTTGGTTAACAGCCGAGCTCTTAACCACTGTGCCACCAGGGCAGTAGGGCCCATCATTTTCTAAATGGAGAGACTGAAGCCCAGCAAGATTATGCAGTTTGCCACAATTCACCCAGCAGGTAAGTGGCTTTACTGAGATTCAAACTCAGATCAAACTGGATCCATTTTCCATTGTGTTCTTTTCACTACAACATGCTTTCTTTGAACAACTAGAGAGCCAAGGCTGTCCCTAAGACAGTCTTGACGTGAAATTCCTGAAGAATTAAGTGTATTTGACTTCGCCCACGAGGGAGTTCATTTCTGGCTTCCTTCACCATAGATCTCCCTCCTTCCTCTGTGGGGGCAGGGCACCCAGACTGATTCAGATGGTCTCTTTCAGAAGATACAAGGAGGCTTTGTGAAGGAGGCTGTTAAAAGGGCAGAGGCAGAATCTGCCTGAGGAAAAACAGGGAAAGGGGGCAAGTCTCCTAAGTGCCAGGCCCACCCTCATTGAGAGGGAGGGGTGAGGTCAGCTCTCTTCTGACATTCCCCCATCCGATATGCTCATCCCTAGGGTCTCCCTCCTTTCATAAGAAACACATATATTGCTCACCTCTGTCTGTTGAGCTTCTCTTTGTCCTTTGAAAACCAAACCAAAAAACCCATTGCCATTGACTCATAGCAACCCTGTAGGACAGAGTTGAACTGCCCCAAAGTGTTTCCAGGGAATAGCTGATGGATTTGAACTGCCAGCCTTTCGTTTAGCAGCCAAGCTCTTAACCACTGTGCTACCAGCCTACTCAAATGCTGCTTCCTCATGAAGCCTTGGTAATCCCCTTGTGCTGAATTCACCGCCTCCTCCTCAGGAGTCTCCCAGCCCCTGGATCACAGGTACTTTTCACAGTAAGATCAGAGCCTGCTTCAAATCCCCTTGCCAGTGATTAGCTGTGTGACCTTGGGCAAGATTTAACCTCTCTAGACATCTGTTCCTCCATCTGTAAAATGGGGATAATAGTGCTTACTTTCAGAGGGCTGTGAGGAGGTTTAAAATGGATCATGCATGTAAGATAGAGACAAAATAGTAAATATATATATGGATGTATGTATGTATGTATTCATGGCCTAAATCTCCACCGGAGAGCCCTGGAGAGAGAGAAAAGCATCTATGGGGTGGATGCTTTATGTAGACAACACACAGAGACAGAAGGGGAAAGAGGATTTCAAGGTTGCTGTGCATTTTTTTTTTTAAATAATGATTTTTGTGCAATAATTATTTAAATTTTTCTTCAAATATTGTGGATGCCAGATTGATACTATGTGGAGGCAAGACCATAAGGTGGCTCAATTCTTTAAATGATACACATATAAAGCTCTTAGCACAGTGTTTGACACATACCAAGTCCTCAAATAGTGGTGGCTCTCACTATCGTCTGTCTCCACCACAAAACTGTGAGCTCGCCAAGGACCTGTCTTCATCACTGTGCCAACCTACTGCCTGCCCTATACTGTCCACAGTAGGTGCTCAGCAGGAAGAAGCCTCTAGTGGGAATCCAAGACCAAGGAAGGTCTGGGAAAACCAAGCCCTAGGAACAAATGCCCTGACATTTCAGCTAATCATAGCAACCAGTAGCGGGGTCAGCACTAGGGAGGGGTTATTTGCTGGTATCACTCTATGAGGACAGGCTCTCCCTTCCTGCTTGTCACTATTCCCTTCTCAGACACAGGCCTGCTTCATCCTCTCACCCACACACACTGACCTCTGCCCTGGCATGTCACCAGTGGTCAAGGGGCCATGGAGCTGCCCAGGGCCATGGATGCCAAGCACACCAGTCTGGAATTCTGCGTGCCTGTTCCTGACCATTCCTGCATGCTCCCCACGGCCTGCCTTTCACAACAGAAGCTCTGCAGCCAGTTATGTCCTCAGAGGAGACCCCTCATGCAAGACAAAGGAGGGGGGATGAGTGACAAGGAGACCTCTGCCTCACAGAACTTCAATAACAGTAGACTACTTGTCATGCCCCCAGTCTTTTTCCAGTTTTTGAATTTGTTCTCGCTGACCTCTAGGCCTGGGATGCCCTTCCCCTATTTCTCCCTAAATTCTATTGATTCTTCAAAGACCAGCTCAAATTCCTTCTCTTCCAGGAAACAACCCCTTTAGCCCAAAAGAACTCCTTCTGACCCCACACCCTCATTCTAGCCTTTTTAATAATTTAGGACAGTGGGTCTCACCCCAACACTGGACAGATACAATGTGGATCAGAGATTGAGTCTGGGAGTCAGGGAGATTCTGGTTTGATTCCTGGATCAGCCACTTGTTAGCTCTGTAACCTTGGACAAGTTGCTTGGCCCCAATAAGCCCCCTTGTAAAACAGGGAAAATAAAATAGGGTAGTTATGAAAATTAAATAATGCTCATTAAGCCATTAGCATGGTGCCTTGCACACATTAATTAAGCTCTCAATAAATGTTAACTATTATTATTGTTTGTCTTGCCCCCACCCCACCCCTCAACCATAGTATCTCAAATTAGAACTAGACCAGCTCAATATCTGAGGTGGAATTTTATTTGATCATCTCTCAGGTTCCAGGTTTGAACAGGTTCCTCCCAAGGGGAGTAGAAGCGTTGAAAAGAGACTAGAATTTCTGAGCACCGGAGATCCCAAGAGAAGAATGAGGGAGAGAGCCTGTGATTGTTGGTCAGAACAGGATCCAGAGGGGAAGACAGAGGAAATAGTGATGCTTTGCCTTGCTCTTCAACTGCAAGGACCAGAAATCTAGCAAGCCCCACAGTAGTAAAACCTCTTCTGTTCCGGGACCTGGGAGCTAGAGGAACATTCCCCTTTCAGTAAGTAATTTCAATGTTTCTGTTACTTGCGGCCAAAAGAGCCTTGACTAAGACACTGACTTTCTCTGACTCCAAGACTTGACCAAGGTCCCTCAGTACCTGAGCTACGGACCCAAAGTTCTGGCTTCCTGGAATTCAGATTTTGAGTCATGGGTCCCTACCCAGAATCTGGCTCACAATTGGAGGGAAGAACCAGCACCACACCTCACCATTGTTCCAAGGCAGGGAGTAGAATACACGGTACCACTCGATCCCCTCCCAGAAATAATAATAATGATTTAAAAAAAAAAAAAAAACAGTTGCTGTTGGATCGATTCCAACTCATGGTAAACCTATGTGTGTCAGAGTAGAATTGCTTTCCATAGGGTTTTCAATGGCTGATTGTTCAGAAGTAGATCACCAGGGCTTTCTTATGAGGGGCCTCTGGGTCGGTTCAAATTGCCAACCTTTTCATTAGTAGCCAAGTGCTTAACCATTTCCACCACGCAGGGACTCCAAATAATAATAGCTACCATTTATTGGGTGTTTATCCTGTATCAGGCACCATGCTAAATGTTATAATTATTTCCAGTCCTCAAAATAGCCCCATGAGTTGATTTTAAATATTGTTACTATTATCTAACTTAAATTTACATGAAGATAAAAATAAGCATGAATTCCTTATTCTTATAGCATTTGAATAGGAAGCCAAAAAACTGTCAACCAAAATTATTAAAATGGATATACACTTTATTTGATATTGCCAATAAATTGCTGATGTACTATTTATTAAAAACAAAGCAAAACAAAAAATATAACCCTTTAAGTTAGATATTCCTATTGGCATCCACACTGTACAAATGGGGTGCAGGTGGGGCTTACAGGGGTGAAGAATGTTTCCTAAGGTTACACAAAAAAAACCTGTTGCCATCGAGTTGATCCATATTCATAGCAACCCTATAGGACAGGGTAGAACTGCCCCATAGGGTATCCAAGGAACAGGTGGTGAATTCAAACTGCCGACCTTTTGGTTAGCAACCATAGCTGTTAACCTCTACACCACCAGGGCTCCCAAAAGTTACACAGCTGGATGTTATAATCACTGGGATAACTGAAGCGTGCCAACTGCCCAAACTTGGGTTCCAGTAGCCTAAGTCCTGGGCTGCCCCTTCACCAAAATGGTAGCTCAGAAATGGGTAGGAACAGATCTTGTCCCTTTTAAAAATACTCGTGGCAAAAAAAAAAAAAAACTCTTGGCCTATCCCAGAATAAGTGCTTATTCAAGTTTTGATGAATGATTAAAAGAGTGAATTTGAAGATAGCTGTTTAAAAGATAGTCTGCTCTACCCTAACCACGGAGAGGCCTGTAATTCAATACTCTGCACTTACCACTGTTGCCAGCAGCCCTTCCAACCTCGATACCCAGAAGCTAGTCTAATGGCATTAACCATTCCAGCCAGGATGCCATTAAAAGCTTCAGTCAAGCCACTGCACTCCCACTCCAGGTCTTGGCTCTGGGCCCTGGGCTGGGAGTGGTCTGGTTGTTTACCAGGAATTTGGACCTTCTTCAGAGAAAAGCACAGATGACCTATTAGTCTAATTCAAGCACTTAGCAAGGAATGACTACCATTCACACCCCCAGCCTCAGGCTAATGGAGCCAAGGCAAATGGAGAGGCCATGACTGCTTAGAGATCCTCCTAGGAGGAGAAGGGGGAAGGTTGATCCAGTGCTCTACTGGAGCTTGCAGAGAGGTAGCTTGGCTGAGCATTTCCTGGGGCAGGGCAGGCTGTGGGGATATAAGAATGTATAAGGAGAGGCTTGCCTATTCCACTCACCACTCTGGCAGCTCCTCTGCACATCCTTAAAACTTGGCTCAGAGAAAATGGGAAGACTACCAAATATTCAATATAGGACTGGTTAATAAAACTATGATACATTCACACATGACCATGTATACAGCTGATAAAAGGAATGATGCTGCTCAAGCTCTACTCATGGATGCTGAAGGATGTCTGTGACTTACACTTTGATGTGCAGTGTGTGACCCCCCCCAAAAAAATTTAAAGAAAAAATAAGTTGCCATCGAGTCAATTCCAACTCATAGCGGCCCTACAGGACAGAGAACTGACCCACAGGGTTTCTAAGGTTGTAATCTTTACAGAAGCAGACTGCCACATTTTTCTCCTGCAGAGTGGCTGGTGGGATCAAACCTCTGATCTTTCGGGTTAGCAGCCAAGTGCTTAACCTCTGCGCCACCAGGGCTCCTCTTACATAAAATTATATGTCGTCATAGATCCTCATGTGCACAGATGTGCAGGGAACAGTCTGGAAGTTTGAGAATGGTTGCCTCTGGGTGGTGGAATTTCAAAGATCTTTGCTTTCTTCTTTAGAATTGTCTATATTGTCCAAATTCTCTACAAAAACCATATAATTGCTAGTTTTTTTGAATTCCTACTATGTGTCTGCAGCCCTGGTGGTGCAGTGGTTAAGAGCTCCTCTGCTAACCAAAAGGTTCGAATCCACCAACATCAATTCTTCTTCTGTCTTCCTTATTCATTGTCCAGCTTTTGCATGCATATGAGGCGACTGAAAATACTGTGGCTTGGGTCAGGTGCATCTTAGCCCTCAAAGTGGCATCTTCGCTTTCGAACACTTTAAAGAGAGCTTTTGCAGGACATTTGCCCAATGCAATGCATCATTTGGTTTCCCAACTGCTGTTTCTATGGACGTTGATTGTGGATCCAAGTAGAATGAAATCCTTGACGACTTCAATATTTTCTCCATTTATCATGATGTTGCTAATTAGTCCAGTAGTGAAGATTTTTGTTTTCTTTATATTGAGGTGTAATCCATACTGAAGGTTGTGGTCTTTGATCTTCATCAGTAAGTGCTTCAAGTCCTCTTCACTTTCAGCAAGCAAGGTTGTGTTATCTGCGTATCGCAGGTTGTTAACAAGCCTTCCATCAATCCTGATGCCATGTTCTTCTTCATATAGTCCAGTCTCTCAGATTATTTGCTCAGCATATAGATTGAATAAGTATAGTGAATGGATACAATCCTGACGCACACCTTTCCTGATTTTAAACCAGAGGGTATTCCTTTGTTCTGTTTGAACCACTGCCTCTTGGTCTATGTGTACAGGTTCTGCATGAGCACAATTACGTGGCTGACAAAGTCAAGTGTTGTTGGACGATTAAATGAATAAATGTATTAAAGTACTTGGCACACAGTAGGGCTCAATGAAAGCAGCTTACTGTTAAAGTGATTGCATAGTACTTAATCACATTGCATTGTACTTATTAACTGTCGTGTTTGTCTGTTTCCCTGTTCTGGTGTATGAAAGGTTTGAAAACAGGATCTAAGTCTTACCTTGGAATCCCCTGCACCCAGCACAGCACCTTGCAGAGCTGGCACTCAACAGATGCATACTGAAAGAGTGAGTGAATTACTAGACAAATGTCCTCAGCCCTATAAATATATTCTTGCAGCTACTTTGCATGGGTAGATATATCCTTATCCCAACAGGTTTACAAATTCCCTGAGATCAAGGATCAATCTATCCTTTCCTCTGGTCCCCATTATGGTCTGTAGCAGACCAATAACACATACAGGTACTTAATAAATGCTGTGGTTGACTGAGGGTCCCCCTCTTAGCTGCTGTGGCAGACATTTCATAGTATCCCAGGAATGGCTGGAGCTGGGGCACATACCAGGTCCACAGCCTCACATAAACCATTTTTTTCTGCCAATTCCATGTCAAGTACACACAGAGGCTGAGACCTGCCCAAAGTCACACAGCAGTCGGTGGCAGGGTTGCCATATCTCCTGATCACCCAGCCTGCATTCTTTAGTCTGTAACACTCATAGTTCTGTATGAATTTACCATGTGAGAAAATGTGAAAAGAGCAAAGTTTTAAGTCAAAATGTTTAATCATGATCCAAGAGTCTGGGGGGACTCTGGGGCAATAGCAGGAATAAAGCAAGGCTCAGGGGCGCTGATCCCTGATGCTTATATGCTCTGTAGGGTTCCTGGGCAGGGCAGTGCAGGCAGAAGGTTCCCATTCCTAATTCAGAGGAGATGGGGGAAGGGAGGGAGCAGAGTCTTGCTTCAGCTCTTCTCATGATGGGAAATGTCTTTCTAGGTTGCCTTAGAACACCCAGCCCTGCCTGCTTGGAATGTATTAGAGAGTGACTGATTTGTTAGATGGCGAGGTGTTTCCTCTTTAGGTGATCCTGGTGGGCAGGAGGAAGGGATCAGGAGAGAGCTTGGCAGAACTGGTCACTACCAGAAGATATAGCTAAATGGTGGTGTCACCAAGTCCTAAGGAAGGGCTGCCTGAGTCAGAAGTGGAGGTAGGGGTGGAAGGATTGAGAACCCAGCCAATGAGGATCTGGAGGTCAATAACCCCTAGCTTTTAGGAATCAACTGGATGGGTGGAGTGGGGTCAGGGTTGCCACACAATGCACTGCACTTCCTTCTTGAGGCTGTTGTTTCATCACCTCTTGTAGGCTGCAGGTTAGGTTGGGTATGGCAGTGGGGAAGAGGGCCCCCGGGGAAGTTCAGCTACCAGAATCTCAGGAGCAGAGTCAAGATAAGTATGCAGGAGAAAAGAGAGGTCACGCAGGGCTGTGGTCTCAGAGCAGGATTTTTATTCTGTGGAAGAAATGGAATGGAGTCAGCCTAGGAGACCCTGCATCTCCACCCACTTCACCCCAACAGCCTCAGTCAAGACCTGCCGCCTCTCCTGAGGTGTCCATCAGTAGTTTATAGCATTTGTGATAAGGAGGTTATTCCCCTCCATCCCCTTGTCTGCCTTGTTTGGGCTTTTTCCAGATGGTAAGGGAAAGGTATGAGGGGTGGAATAGAGGAGGCCCTACCTGGCGTTCCATCACAGAAAAGGTAGAGTCTGTCCAGTCCTGGAAGAAGAGTTGGCTGTGAAAATGCATCTTAGCTGCAATGGCCTCCACTGAGGAGAGGAGAGAAGGCAGATTGGAAGGAGGTGGTTGTTGGAGATTTCTCAGGATATCAAGGAAGGAAAGGGAATGCCACAGGGACCCTGGTTTGTAGGTGGGTGGCAGGTGGGAATGGGATATTGTCTAATTCTAGTTGTTTGTTCCTTGGGCTGGAGAATGTCCCTGGGGCCAACACAGGTTGAAGAGGCAGCCTGGGGGGTCACTCAGAAAGTGTGAAAAGGAAGAAAGTTCCAGGCTGCAGGGATAGAAGCCTATGCTGAGAAGGTGGCTGTTCTGTCTGCAGGAGATGGGCAGAACCAGTCTGGAGCACATACTTGACCCTTCCCCCAACCCCTTTGGTTCAGCTGACCTAGCCATGGGAACTGGCAGCAGGTGGACTGCACTCACTGAGGCAGGGATTACGTGAGAAGGACGCTTCCAGGCGCTCACACTCCTCCTGCAGGTTGCCACTGCCTCGGCAGGTACAGCTTAAGGCGACACTGATGTTGATGTTGCTAACAAAGTTGGGAGTCATGGCAGTCCCTGTGGAGTGAAGAGGGAAAGGTGTTTTCGGGGCCTAGGTCAACCCTAATTTCCGCTCCCACTCTCTCCCATCCGTCTCGGGAGCACTCCTTCTGGGTTAGTTTCCAGAGCATTCTTATCCCTCAACAGCTGACTAAGCTGTGGGTTCCCTACACATGTACCCCAGCCTTACCAATCAGCCCCATGTATGCTCGCAGACATCTGGATTGCTCTGTTGCACAGGTCCTTAGGACGTCCATGGGATGGCAGTGAGTCTGAAAATCTGCCAACCGTGATCTGGAAGAAAAGAAATTTCAAGAGTCACCACTGAGGGTCTGGTCTACAGCCTTCACCTTCGCTGCCCTTTAACTTGGCCTGCTCATCTTCATGCAAATCCTCCTCTGCATGGAGCCTGGCCCAGGACATCCTCCTCAGTGACACCAGCCTCTGTCAGAATTAAATGCACAGTCACTCCAGCTCCCACAACATCTCACTCTGAATTTGGGTTCCACAATCCCTAGTTAGCAGACCTCGGGCAACGTCTTTAACTTCAGTTTGCTCAACTATGAAAAAAGAGATGATAACAGCACTACCTCATAGGATTTTTGTGAGGATGAAATAAGATAATGTATGTACAGCATTGAGCACAGTACCTGGTAAATACTGTTTAGTAAATGCTAGATATTGTTATTGTTAGCACTCACTCCACAATAAGTAAAGTAAGTGGTAGAACAAAGTTGCAAGCCTAGGCTGACATGACTCATTATAAACAACTGTCACTTGAACGGATGATAACTTCAATTTGGTGAGTGTTTTGCCTTGAAAAGGCAGGGGAAAGCCAGATCAGAATTTCAAATTTGCTGGAGAGTATATATCAAACACCTTAAAAATCTTCATATCCTTTGATCAAGTAATGGCACTTGTAGCAACACATCCTAAGTAATAATCAGAGATGTGCATAAAGATTAATGAACAAGAGTGACATTTGTTACAGCATTATTTATAGCAAAGAACTGAAGGTAACATAAATATTCAACAATGGAGAGATGGCTAAATAAGTGAATACTTTCCATACAATGGAATATAATGCAGGCATTTAAAAATCAAGTTCTTAAAGTACAGTAAATGACAAAATAAGCACTACAGGGCCAGATTAAGACATGTGAGGGCCCTAAACACTGATAATTTGTGGTGCCCCCTCCTCTGCTCACTCATGCATTCGAATAGGATATTTGAGTTATATATATACATGTATATATAGATGTGTATGTGTGTGTGCGTGAGTGTGTGGTAGCTATCCATGATGTAACTTCTTTTTAAATGCGACTATAATATTAGTGATTGAATGCAAAAGTGGCATGATGCCATTTTAGCGGAATGAGATGAACTGGATTATAAAATTTTTAGTGGATGCAGGGTACTGAGATTTTTACTATATACCGCATGTTCTACAAAAGGAATATTCCACATATTCTACAAAAAAAAAAAAATAGAATCAGTCAATTTAGATGTTTCAACAATCAATGTAAAATCCTGTTGGTCTTCCACAGTGAAAACTGACTTTCATTATTTTTGCTTTAAACGACTCATACTTCAATTTTTATGCTTGTTTTATAATAAATGCTATAATTATAAATTAACAAATTAAAAGATGTCATAAAAGAAAATTTAATGATCAGAAAACAAATTATTATATTTTATTTTTAGATAGATCTTTCATCTCTAACATATTATAATTAAAAACATTTCTTTCTATTCTTTGCTCTTACAAATTCTTCAATGATTTTGTTATAATTAAGCTGCCAAACAATATCTACTTCCACATATAATAAAGATAATGAATCCAGTCTTTCTTGAATCATTGTTGTACACTGAGGGTTTCTGAATCTCTTTAGGGACGAAAATGAGCATCCTCTTGTGAAGTTTGTGATCATTAAAGTTAGGAATATGTATAAAGCAGATGTGGATGTACAAGATAGCTCTCTCAAAATGGATCAGAGACCTGTTATCTATTAACATAATCTGTCCTTGTCCAGTAACCACTCATCTTGGATCCAGTTGCACATTGGGTGAATGTAGCAAGAGTTAGACTCAACATCCCACCCCCATCTCTTGTTTATTAAAAAGAAATGGAATACTGCCAATAGACTCACGGAGATAAGGAGTTTCAACTACACCAGAGGTAACTGCAGGAAACAGATGTCAACGAAGGTGTTGAAGTGGTAGGGGCCTCATAGCTTAAACAACCTTGTGCATGGGCACCCTCATGACCCTGTGTGAACTTTATTTCCGGCCAGCGCATTCTCATGCACTGAAGCTGGTATCAGTTTCGTTTAGTGCCCTGCCACTTCCCTTCCACTGTGGTGCTTGCTTTTCCTTGTGTCCTGTGTGGTTGGCATCTATGGGTCTTTGCTTTGGACAGCTGGTGCCCCTGTTTTGTTGATGCCCTAAGCAGGTGCTTACCTTGCTTATTGGCAAACCCGTCCCTGAAGCACTACCATTTACTGAAGGAGCCCTGGTGGTGAAGTGGTTAAAGCACTCAGCTGCTAACTGATAGGTCGGCAGTTCAAACCCATCAGTTGCTCCAGGGAGAAAGATGTGGCAGTCTACTTCTGTAAGATTTACAGCCTTGGAAACCTGATGGGGCAGTCCGACTCTGTCCTATAGGGTCACTATGAGTGGAAATCAACTGGATGGCAACGGGTACCATTTATTGAGCACTTACTCTGCACCAGTAAGCTAAACACTTTATGTAAATTATTTAACTCTCACCAGAATATCATGAGGTCTGCATTGTTATCTCTTTTAGTTTTAAAAAGAATTAAACGGAACCTTAGGTTAAGTGATGGAATTTTAGGTTAAGTGATGGAATCTTAAGTGATGTGCACAAGGTCACATAGACCCAGGATCTAAACTCACATCTGACTTCAGAGCTTGAGTCTTTACCACTACTCCATACTGCCTCCACAGGAAAATACTCATGAGATATGTAACAAAAGTGAAAGAAGCAAGACGCAAATATATTCCCAGAATGTCTAATTGTGCTTATCTGTATAGAAAAGAAAAAAACTGGAAGAAAATGCCCTCAAAAGTACATACAGTTATCTTCAGGTGATGGAATTTGGAATGATATTTTTTGTATGCTTTTGTATTTTCTGAAGTTTTTACATAAAGGGGAAAAAAGTTCTTTTGGAGAAAATAGTTTCAGAAAATATCCAAGGTGGCTACCTGGTGAAGAAGTCAGTCAGTTCCTGCCGGGAGGGGGATATCAGGCCCAGCACCGCACTGGCAAGCAGGCCCCCAAGAAGCGCACCACGCCCTTTCCCACCAGGACCCACCCATACCCCCGCACCTGCAGAGCGGGTCGGAGAGGCAGGTGCGGCGCAGCTCCAGGCAGTTGGGGACAGCAGACGGCAGTGCACAGCTGGGGGCAATGGTGTTGCGCCGGCGTTCCCCACAGCCCCGGTCTCTGGGTGCACATGGGCACAGCAGCAGGCCCTGCGCGCGGTGTTCCGCTGCCTTCTCGAAGAAGGCGCGCAGCTGCTCAAGGCAGATATGGCGCTGGCATCCTGGCCCTGAGCATGCCTCCCCGTAGGCCTTGCGCAGCCGGTCACACTTGTCATTCAGAGTGCACAGCATGGCAAACTTGAGACAGAGGTCTGAGCCTGGGAGAAGAGGGGCACCAAGTCAGCAGGCTGTGCCCTCCAAGCATACCTGCAGCCCGACCTCCGTAAGAACCCGTAAGCACCCTAATGTAACTCTGTAGGCTGTGGGGGAAGTGGGAGCGGCAGGACTGCCTTGAATAAGGCCACTCCTAATCCAGGGTTTTTCTTTCTACCCACAAACTATATCTGGTATTCTTGAGACTCTCCCATCCTACTCCTCATCTTGACTAGGTTAAGAAAAAGAGAAAAAAAAAAAATCCATATACATCTTACAGCCATTTATCTAGAATTCAAGCAGCCAGAAAACCCAAATAACCAAACCTTTCCTCGGTGAGATCTGATGGTGGAAATCCTAACCTAGAGTCCCTGCAACATTCTAAAGCACCTTCTGAACTGTCCAAAACAGATGCAACCAAGTTGTTTAGTTTTTGTTTGTTTGTTTTTGTTTAGCACCTGTCTATTCTGTTCAGTTTTAATGTCACTTGTCCACCTTTCATTGATTCATGCATAAAAGTTCGCTGTACTCTGAGTCGTAGAAAATTATGGTGATAATTTTACTAACAGAATATTCCAGCAGCCAAAACAATCAAGTAATAGGATATTCACTGATTCCTTGTAACTGAGAGTTTGTTGTGCACAAATCTCTATTTTTTTCTCAAAATTCTAATATATAGAACCGATTGTACAACAAAACTCAAATCCTTCTCAAAAAGAGAGTGCATGTGTGGGCATGTTCCTTCCCAACAGCTTCACTTTCCTGAAAAGCATACATCATAGTACTTGCCAGTCTGATGGCTCCCCACCCCAAGTCACCCCGTGTGGAGTCACACACTCTCGAACCATTTTCCCTGCCCAACACCTCGCCCATCCCTTTAGACTGGTTGAAAACAAACAATTTCCTATTCTTTAGGGACAAAAACCTACTTTCTGGGCTGCCTCGAATGAGGGTAAATACTCCATTTCAGTACACTTTTCTGAGATTGCTGCCCCTCCTGCCACTCCCACCACACCCTTTGTAGGGATCGCCCTTTCAGAACCGAGAAGCCCTAACGGGCTCTCTTAGAACGCCTCCTTAATAGCTGTAGCTTTTGGATGGCTCTTGTAGGACCAGACCATGCCCACAGCTCAGACTCCCATGCTAACATAATGATTCTTTAGTCACCCGGCAAGCTAGGAATTGTTCCCCAACAAGGCCCCCAGCGTGTTCCCCACCAGAAACCCTTCCCTTGGAGTCCAGGCCCAGCCTCCCATTACCCAGCCTGGGCTTGCCCTCTACACCTGGTTTGAGCATGTTCAGTTTGCTGAGATCCATTTTCCAGGGTTTGCTGGTTACTGTGTCTTCATAGGGGGAGACATCCAGCTCGTAGTCACCTAGAAACAAGGTGAAGGGAACACCAGAATCCTGAGGACCAGGGTGGGGGTGGGAGGAGGGGCTGAGGCTGCTGGGCCAGACCTCAAAGCCCTGTGGAGAAAAGGAAAAAGCACAAGTCTACCCAACTAGCTGTAAGCTGTGCAGAGATTAGAAAAAGGCGGGGTCTTGAAGGCATAGGCTGGGCTTGATGAACAAAGTGAGTTTAATGATAAGAAAAATAACAGCTACCATTTGTTGAGCACACTGTGTGCTGGGCACTATGGTATGTGGTGTATCTATATATATAATTGATTAACATATCTTATATATATATATATATATATAGAAAATAAATAAATCTTACGTATGTGTATGTGTGTATGTGTTATGGATTGAATTAGTTCCCCAAAAATATGTGTTGTAAATCCTAACTTCTATGCCTGTGGTTATAATCCCATTTGAGAATGGGTTGTCTTTGTTAGGTTAATGAGGCAGGATTAGTGTAGCGTGTATTCTGAGTCAATCTCTTTTGAAATATAAAAGAGATTAAACAAGTGACCAAAGCAGAGATGGGTAAAGAGAGATGCCAAGCCACACGAAGATCATCCAGGAGCAGAGGCTCAAAAAGACAAGGACCTTCCTCCAAGTCGACAGAGAAAGCCTTCCCTTAGAGACGACACCCTGAATTCAGACTTCTAGCCTCCTAAAACCCACTGCCATCAAGTCTATTCTAACTCATAG